AGAGGTTAAAGAAATACTGTGGTGTGGTTGGCACTAAGCCCTTCCGAACTCCGGGGCGCTATTATTACGAAGTAAATGTGTCCTATCGCATCCACGTGAATCTCGTGCGTAATGCCCTGATATTTGAGATCGGGATCGGGCGATGGGAAAGCATACATAACAGTTTCTATGTAGGTGCGCAAATGTTCGCTTGGTCTTTCTCTGCAGAAAGATGCAATGAACACAAGCAACTTTGCCACAAGTTCCGCCACAAGAGGACACTCTTGTTGCACAGTCCGATTTCTGCTGATGTTGCTGGTACTAATATGTCGATGTCCTACGGGTTTCTTCTAGACACTGACAATCGACAGTGGACGGTGATTGATTGCTCTAGCCAGAAGGTCCTCTACACCTTCCGGAACTTGGACTTTACGGAACCCCTCTGGCCCGTGTTCGGAACCTACAACCCATACTCTGCGCACGTGGAAATGCATCTGAGATCCGGAAGTTCAATAGCAAAGATTCCCGCTATTGCAACTCTAGTGTGATGGAAGCTCCAGATGGGTTGCCTATATAATTTTGAACATGATTTTTTCATTTTTACTGTAGCAGTCTTCCTGATAAATCACTATCTTACATGTAATTCAAATGGTAAAAAAATTGAGATTATGGTAAATTGGATGTTAAAAAATTATAAAGCCCCAGTAATATTCAGATTAAGTGTGGCAAGTGTTTGGTTTTTAATCTTCTAGAAATTTTCGTTTTCCTTTATTGTATAGATAGGCAGATAAATTTATTATGTTTGGAACTTAAACCTCTCCTCAATACTTCACGGAGTTAGTCACTTTGAATTTAACCGGCAACAAGTTTGTTTTTGATTTGAACTTTTATGACGTTTACATATGCCTATATTGATAGATAATTTGTTGGCATATGTAACCAGTTATCACTAATTTATATACAAACATTGTAGAATGGTCTTCCAGTGACTTACCAAAGACATTTGGAGGAAGCATATTATTTTTGGAAATATTTTTGAAATGACACTTTGGAGTGAAGTGGTGAAGGTACATGTTCTTAATAAATTGTTGATATAGTTTCTAAGAAGTTTTTTTTTTACATAAAGACTGCTATATTATAACTGAATATTTTTAAAAAACCTGGCGTTGCTTTTGGGAGGAGGAATAAGCAAGAGGGTATTAAACATATATCTTGACAAATGATAAAAAGATTTTTTTTAAAAAAAAAATTCCTACATGTTCTCATGTGAAAATTTGTATCCGCTTTTGTGACCTCATCCTTCTTTTGAGGACAATGATTTGAACAAATTTGAGACTGCATGCAATTCTTGCATATTCGAATCACTATTTTCTGCTGTTATTGAGAAGTTAATCATATACGGTACAAATTGTGATGCATCAAATGCACATTTTGACAAATTTTGTCTCTTTAGTGCTGCTCATACCGTCGAAATATTTAAATGAAAAAAAATAAAAGTTTGTAGAATGAAATATCGTAACCAAATACGTCGAAGGGTAAGAACTACATGTATCAAGTATGCATGATGGATATCTAAATTATACATGCACCGCAGCAATTAAATAAAATTCCGTATTTTCAAGCTAGTATTGGGCAGTAGAGATTTTCAATTTTTATATATATCAACAGTGAAACGATATAAATTAGTCAAAATAGTAAAGTAAATTAATATTTTTCAAACTACGAAATGATATTAATAGTGTGACAAATCTCGAAATTTCCTTTCCTTTCTGCATTGTTCAGAAAATGTTTAAAAATCTGTACTCCTAAATAATGCATGTATTTAACTCTTCTCTTCGGGGGTGATTTATACATGTTATAAACTAGGACTTGATTTCAATTGATATACCAGTATATTCTGTTTTTATTATTAAAAATGCATGTTGATCTAGAAATCTTTTGTAAATTGAGGAAAATGTTCAAATATTGCCATTCATCATAGGTGACCGATTTACAGTCATAATATCAAAATTGATCAAAACCAACCCCTTCGATAATTTAGATAAGCATTTCATTCAAATCCGACAAATAAATTGTTTTTACCAAGCAAGCTTTAGAGGACATTGTTAGCTTAAAAAAACTTACCTAAAAATAAAATCGATATTCATGAACGCACATGACTGGAGAAACAAGCTTACAAGATGTATCTTTTTTTCAAATGTTTATTTGTCAAATTTGTGGTCATGGATATTTCTCTAGGATACGGTTTGTATAACTCTTTTTTAGACGTTAAACAGAATATCAGTATAGTTCTGCTTGCTTGTTTCATTTATTCTTAAACATTTGGTTCCGGACCAGGAAGTGTATTTCTCAGGAGAACGACATTCAAAGGGCTGGGGGAAACAGAATACTGATCAGCGTTCTTTTTTTTCTTCTCAAAATGCAGATATAAATATTTAATAATAAAATACTTTTGAAAACTCATTAAAAATAATATGTATCAATAAGAATAATGTTACATAAAAAAAAAAACTGTTGTGAATTTAATGGAATAAGGACTGTAAAATTACAAGTTTACTACAGCCATATTTATTAATTAGTCCCCAACCGACGAAACCATTAATTTATTTTCTTACATCAAACAAAATAGCAGATCAAGTTTGCATTTCGTTCCGCTTTTATGACCTCTGACGAGATCACGACCTTTCAAAATTTCAGGATTTTCAGCAATTATTTTCTAAACGCTTGAATATGGAACGCCATGGCTGTCTTTGGTGAGTGTTCTACTATATGCTGTACATAGGTCTATTAACTATATACTTTGGACCTTCATGTATTAATATTTTCTGTGGATTCATAATTATTTGATGTGTGTTCATAATAATGTACTATGGTTTCATTTTTTATAACTTGTGGTTTTATAATTATTTGCTGTTAATTATAAATGTCCCTGATATGAAAATATGATATTTTATGCAAATTATCTGCACATGAATTCCACCAAGAAAAAAAAAACTTGACCCCAAATAAAAAAACAACAACAACAACAACAACACCCCCCCCCCCCCCCCCAACTGACGAGCAAATGAAAAAAAAGAAACTTTTTCAAACCTGTCGCCTGAGAATTACAATGTTCGATATTTACTACTAGGATAATTCTACTACGATTTTCTGTTTCATTTCATTGAATAGATAGGCGGGAAAAAGTATTGTGTTTTGAACTTAAACCTCTCCTCAATGCTACGTGCAGTTACTTAATTCAATTTAGACGACAACATGTTTTTGATAATACAATTATGACCTTTACATGTACGTATGCCTAAATAGTAAATACTATCAGAGAAAACTAGTTGGCATATGTTATTATGCAATTAATTATCAATGGTTTATAAAGAAATATTGTAGAATAGTCTTCCATTGAAGTTACCAAAGACATATTGTTTGTGGAAATACTTCGAGTGAGGTGGTGAAGGGTCATGTTCTTAATAAAGTGATAAAAAATCTCAGTGACCTTTTTTAACTTAAAATTGCTATATTATTACTGAATGTTTTTATAAAATTGGGTATTGCTTTTGAAAGAATGGACATGCAAGAGAAAGCTAAATTTCAAATGCATAATAATATAATTTACATATGTATTAAAACAAATGATAACTTGCTGTTCTTGGGAATTCGAAGATATTTCAAAAAAAAAAAAGATTTTCCTACATTTTCTCATGTTAAAATGTGTATTTTTGTGGTGGTCTCCTCTTTTAAATGACAATGATTTGAATAAATTTGAAACTACAATACTTGGATATTTAAATGACTAAGCTCGGCTGTTCTTGAGATGAAAATCGTATGCGGAATCAATTTTGATGCATCAAATGCGCATTTCGACACATTATGTCTCTTCAATGATGCTCATGCCGAAACGTTGGAAATCCGAAATATTCAAATCAAAAATGTAAAACATTGAAGAGCGGAATATTGAAACTAAATACGTCAAAGAGTAATTAAGACCTATCAGGTGAGCATGATGGATATCTAAATTATACATGTACCACAGCAATTAAATATATTTCCGTATTGGGCTGTAATATTTATTTATATCAGCAATAAAATGATATGAATTAGTCAAAATAATAAAATAAATTGATATTTTTCACACTACGAAATGGTATCAAAAGTTGTAATATTATGATAGAAAGCTAGTTTTGACAAATGTTGAAATTTCCTTTCCCTTTGAATGTTAGAAAAACTGTACCCCTAAATTATAGTCTGTTGTAAGATAATAGGAGTTTATAGAAGGATATGGAGATAACGAACAGTATTTAGTCTCAAAGTCCATAAAACAATACAAAATAAGAGCAGAGCAAACACGGACCCCAGAAACATCAGAGGTGGGATCAGGTGCCATGGAGAAGTGAGCATCCCCTGCCGACTGGTCACACCCGCCGTGTGCTCCTTGTCATGATCAGGAAATAACGGAAAAAAATCCGTCGTCAATTCAGTGTATAGAGTATACATGTAGATAATGTGAGGCCAATGAAAAGGTAAACAGAATAGAGTTTAGATGACAAAATCCTTCTTCATGCTCCTCATATCTCACATTGTCTATCCAATCTCTGCCATTAATAGAAAAAAAAATCACATGATAATTAAAACCTGTCAAAAAGTAAATAATTCATTTAACTCCTCTCTACGGGGGTTACTCAGTATATGTCTACATGTAATAAACTAGGACTTTATTTCAACTGATATTCCAGTATATTCTTTTTAATTAAAAAAATGCATGTTCATATAGAAATCTTTTGTAAATTGAGGAAAATGTTCAAATATTGTCATTCATCAAAGCTGACCGATTTGCAGTCGATATATCAAAATTAGATAAAACCCACCCCTTCGACAATTTAAATAAGGATTTTATTCAAGTCCGTCAAATATATTTCTGTACCAAGCACGCTTTAAAGGACATTGTTAGCTTAAAAAAACTAACCTAAAAATAAAATCGATATTCATGAATGCACATGAATAATAATTGATAACTGGAGAAAGAAGCTTTCAAGATGTGTCTTTTTTTCATATGTTTATTTATCCAATTTGTGGCCGTGGGTATTTCTTTAGGATACGGTTTGTATCAATCACTTTTCATCATAGAATATCAGTACCCAAACAAAAACTTTTCTTAACAAATCATGCCAAAATCACATACAAACCATATCAAACTCACAAATTCATGATTTTGAACTATGATTTAGACATGATCCATTAAATGGATCATACTGAAATCATAGATGACAAATAAGGAAGTATGATCCTGATGTGGTTTGTTTCTGGGGAATGAGTCTGCTGTGATTTTCTTGCGATTCTGACATGTGCCGTTAACTTAGAAAACAAAGAAACATGAGTTTGAAATGATTCGTTAACTTTAACTGCTAAAAGTTTGTGATTTTGATATGGTTTCTTAACTTAGTCTTTAAACTCCATACGAGTTACGCATGATCTGTTAACTTCTCTGTTGAGAATCATGAGTTTTATATGATTTGTTAACTTTGTCAGAATTGGTTGTATGATCCTGATATGTTTGTTAACTTTGTCATCTATGATAGGTGAAAATGCAATGGAGAATCAAACAACATGCATACATCAATAAAATTCTTATTTAAAAGAGAACAGGAAAATTAAGTTTTAATAATTAAAATGCACACAGCATGTACAGGTATAGTTACAAAGACAATATTTTTTTTGAAGTTGAATGAAATGACAAACAAATTTAATACAAAAATTCATATTAAAATTAGCACACATGCATTTTGTTTAAATAACACAGCTAGGATTTTATAATTAAAACTCTTTCTCTTCATGTAATATTTGTGATCCACTCCCAATCTAACTTTGAGGCATTAGATTAGGATTGGCTCACCGGTCAGTTTCAGAGTCATAGTAACCTTGTTATGCAATTCTCCTGCTGGGCAGCACGCTGTAGTACAGTGGTTTGCAGCTGATCTAGGTCAGAATTTGAATTCTGATAAACAAGATGTGCGCGTTTTCTTGTTGCCGATTTAAAAGAAAAGCCTTTGCATCATATAAGCAATAAAAATTAGGTCTGGACTATTAACTTCATACTCGGTGAGTATAGTTCATTAATTGTTTTATTGACCTTTTTTAATATCTATAGTTTCTACCAGCAAGTGCATGATTTATTTTCTCTCTGTAAATGTGTAGAAGAGACATAGCAAAGCTTTACATGGATTTGAATTGAAAACTAAATTTAAGCATCAAATTGACCTCGTTGATTCAAATATTTGTTGTACATGTACATGTTAATCGTTATATAAAATGTTTAATTATAAAAATGAAATTCTTTTACAGCTACCGACATTTCCATCTTCATGATTAACATCTGAGTTGCATTCAAATTACCAAATTCAAAAGACCCGCCTTTGGTGAAGACAAAATTTTTGTACGTAAATAATATTACATTTCAACAATAGTATTCTTTTGGTGATTTATCTAATTCTTTTCACTAATGCAATGGGGAAAGTACTTAAATATTTCATATTTTCATGATCTAAAGATAATGTTATGTTGATCGATGAATAAATACCACTTTCTCTACGTTTCTTTTCAGGGTGCTTATATACACATATAAAGAGACTATATCAGAGGATAGACTACTTCATTTGGAGCCCTCTCGGTGTTTGTGATTCTGAATAAAAGATCCACCACTCTGCTGATTCTGTAGTGAACAAATGTTGTAATTATATGCTTTTGCAGAATCATAAATAAGCAGTGATATCAGAGAGTTCCGGTTTATTTTTTAAGAAGAATGGATTTCTGTGATTCTGTTCTTATAAAATTCAGTGAATAGTTTGGATAATGTTTTATATTTAAATCTTCATCTTATTAACGGAGATCATTTGTTGGGACTATATTTATATGACGTCATGGTTCATGTGACATATGTGTATAATATTTTTCTTAATTTTTGGTAACTGAAATTATTTATCAAATATTAAAGAGAACTTTATTGCAAATATCAAAGTGTTTATAGTTAAATTGTATAAGAAGTAGAATTTTCTTATGAGTTGTTCAATTTAACAGATCATACCAGGATCATGATTTTGATACGAGTTGTTAGCTACAACAGATCATACCAGGATCATGGTTTTAATGCGAGTTGTGAGCTACTACAGATCATACCAGGATCATGGTTTTAATACGAGTTGTTAGCTACAACAGATCATACCAGGATCATGGTTTTAATACGAGTTGTTAGCTACAACAGATCATACCAGGATCATGGTTTTAATACGAGTTGTTAGCTACAACAGATCATTCCAGGATCATGGTTTTAATATGAGTTATTAGCTCTACAACAGATCATACCAGGATCATGGTTTTCTTGCTAGTTGTTTAGTTTGACAGATCATCTCAGAACCATGATCCATTAGCTCATTTGCATGTGAAATTTTCCTATACCGAAATCATATCAAAACCATGATTTACACATGAGTTGTTAGCATGATCCGATAGGCTGTTTTTTCTGTTTGGGTAGTTCTGCTTGTTTGTTTCATTTATTCTTAATCATTTGGTTACGGACCAGGAAGTGGTTTTCATGAGAACGACATTCAAAGGGCTGGAAAAACAGAAAACTGATCAGCGTTCTGTTTTTTTTTTTTTCAAAATTCAGATATAAATATTTAATAATAAAATACTTTTGAAACTCGTTGAAAATAATATGTATCAATTAGAATAATGTTACATAAAAAAACTGTTGTGAAAAACAACATTGTTTTTAATGGAATAAGGTCTGTAAAATTACAAGTTTACTACAGCCATATTTATTAATTAGTCCCCAACCGACAAAACCATTAATTTATTTTCTTACATCAAACAAGATAGCAGATCAAGTTTGCGTTTCGTTAATTCCGTTTTAATGACTTTTGACGAAATTTCGACCTTTCAAAATTTCAGGATTTTCAGCAATTATTTTCTAAACGCCTGAATATGGAAATTTCTCAAGGTTGATTAGAAAAGTATTTGAAGGTATAAATTTACACGTTATATGGGGGGGGGGGGTCAGTACGATTGTTGAAAAAAAAAATTCTGCATGATCCGTTTTTGATTATACCGCAAGAACAGGGGGAGGGACAGCCTTCAATAGTATAAAGATATGTGTGCAAATACCTGATGCTACGTGTTTACGAATAAAAGTGATTGGATTGGAATGGATGAAAAAATAAATGTGAAACAATGTGGAACCGTAAAGCTTTAAAGGAGTGTTTTAAATATAGAACTGTAAAGCCTTAAAGGATTGTTTAAAATATAGAACTGTAAAGTCGAAAAAGAGTGTTTTAAATAAAGAAATGTAAAGCGTTAAAGGAGTGTTTTAAATATAGAACTGTAAAGCCTTAAAAGAGTGTTTTAAATATATGGAAATGTAAAGTCTTAAAGGAGTGTTTTTAATATGGAACAGTAAAGCCTTAAAAGAGTGTTTTAAATATAGAACTGTAAAGCCAAAAAGGAGTGTTTAAAATATGGAACTGTAAAGCCTTAAAGGAGTGTTTTAAATATAGAACTGTAGAGCCTTAAAGAAATGTTTTTAATTTGGAACAGTAAAGCCAAAAAGGAGTGTTTAAAATATGGAAATGTAAAGCCAAAAAGGGTAATACTATACAATAATGGACTCGGACTCTTTTGGTGTTGAATATGATTTTTCATTCACCAGAAAAATATTCATATTGACCGAGGCGAATTCAACACCAAAAGAGTCCATACTTGTTTTATTATATATTATATATATTGTTTTATTATAGAGTGTGAATAAACAAGACATAATCGAAGGCTGCAGGACGACACCATTTGGCATTTCATTTGCAAACATCCGTCGTTGAAAAAAATGTCCACTTTACAGTTTGTCACCTCCGTGTTTTCCTCCCCGATTTTCGCTATGTGTAAGACGTCCAAATGTTTAAAATTAATACTGCAATAGGTTTGTATAATATTTTTCTTGCTCAGATACGTAGCTCGCTGCGACCGTTGCAACCATTGTTTACAACGTTGCTATATGTGTTGATTGTGACGTCACAATGCAGCTGCACGCGCAATGACCCTCCGGTGAATACGGCCTCAAATCCAGTGAATATTTAAGAAATAAGGTGCCAACCCGTTTTACATCCCAATAAAACTCAAAAATGATACCTTATTACTTATCTTTACATTTGTGACTTATTCATACTGTAAATTTGCCTGATTGTGACTTTTAACGTGTGAAATGCATTATTTTTCAAACCCAACGGCATGTATATGTATATAATTCCAACCTTAATTTTATTTATCGATTCCTTGTGTTTTGATTGGACGAGAACAAATTCAAGAAAAAGTTTACACATCGATGAATTTTTCAACCAGAACTACTTTCTTGACTGTTGTAAAACAATGAAAACAGATCTTTCTAGTTCGTTATTACAAGAAACTTATAATAAAAAATGAATGAATTAATTAATGAATGAAAAGGAGATAAACAGGACTGACAGACGGGAATATTATATTTATGTCACTGTCGGATCACGAGTGTGAATTTTTGAAATCGCTGATCATGCTGTCATTTTTTCGACGTTCCATATCAACGCAGTTGGTATCGTAATGTGATGTGATAAAAGAAACGTACCTCAGAATCTTGCCTTTTCACCATCAAATTCATATATTTAGCCTACATCCTACAGATCCCATATTCTCTCTAAATCTTTGAACGAACCAGAGCAATTCGAGGACGTCGTCGATCTTCAACTTTCGTCATGACGTCAACATGGCCATGGTCAAGGACGAATTAATTATTGATCGTTTTGACAAATAAAGTTGGATTTTATCTATATTCATCTTGTATACGTTTCTTTGCGGCATAATGTATTCCTACGCCGTACAAAATAACGGATTGTATGGCGGCCTCAAAGAGAAATAATTTTAATAATTAAAAAAATTCGTAATTTTCGCACTTTTATTCAGTTTGTGAGTAAAAAGGCAGAGTTTACACATCGATCAATTCTGAAAAAAGAACGTTTAATCCTACAGTAATCCACTGAACGCGCGTTGACCCTTGATGACGTCACTGAGAAATTATGTCGAACGTTTTTCCATACGAACATCTATGACCTCTTGACCCCGTACCTGTATTTATACAGTTATAAAAACGCTTGCTTTCAGTCGTGTTATATAAAGGAAAACATTTGCAAATGTAAATATGTAGTGTTATGAACGGTTTGCATTTGTATAGATTATATAGGGAATATAAATAGACTATATAATTAAGCATATTATTATGAATACCATATAAAGAATAGACACACAGCATATTATATTTGACACAGAGCATATAATAATAAACCCACATCATAGAAATATAACCCCAATTCATAAAGCAATGAAGCCACTGCACTATGCACCACAGTATAAACTATAATTATTATATTACAGCATATAATAATGGAACCACAGCATATAATAAAAACCACAGCATATAATAAAAACCAACCACAACTAATAAAAGAAAAACAGCATATAATAATAAAACCACATCATATAATAAAAGAACTACATTATATAATAAAAAACATAGCATATAATGATTGAAGCACGGCATATAATTAAAAAAGCCCACATCATATGATAAAAGAATCACAACATTAAATGATAATACAACCACAACATATAATGATAGAAGGACAGCGTATAATAATACAACCACAGCACATAATGATAGAACCACAACATATAATGATAGAACCACAGCATATAATAAAAGAAGCACGACATATAATCATATAGAACCACACCAAATTATTATAGAACCACAAAATATAATAATACATGTATAACTTACCACAACATATAATGATATAATCAAAGCTGATGATTATGACCCAGAGTATATAATTATAGAACCACAGCATATAGTAATAGAACCACAGCATATAATAAAATCCTATAACATAAGGCAGTCATGTCATATTATACCTGTAGATATCGAGCTGTTTTTTGGTATATTACTATATATATTTTAGTTATAGATGAAATTTGAATTTCGTCCCGCTTCATTGATTTTTAAAGGAATTATGACGTTTTCAGTTTTTAACGGGAACCAGATTACACTAGTCAGTATATTTATTCTGCAAAACTCTCAGAATGCCTGTTAGTCCCCTACCGGAAAAACCGGAGAGGACTCTATGTTTCCTTTGGGTCTGACCGTCTGTCCGTCTAGCTGCCCCTCTGTCTGTCAGTGTGTCCTATTCGGTTTTCCGCACTTTTTTTCTAAACGCATGCAGATACTGATCTGCTGCTGATTTTTAGCATGTGAGTGAATCTTGATGAGTTTATATTTCGGTCTGCTTCAGTGATTCATGAAGTTTCCACGACCTTTCAATTTGATGTTTTGGAGGTCCGTGTTTGCCCCGCTCCTTTTTTTATGCTTCAAAGCTAGGAAAATAATTGCAGATATTCAGACTTTTGAGCTCGATTGCTGTATTTCATCATGTATCAAATCTTTTTGTATGTGTATATTTTCAGATGATATATCGGCATATAAACCAACAGGACAAAGGACATACTTGGGTAAAAAGGGTTCTCCTCAGAAAGCTGTAGATAGATCTTTATCCACATGTTCCACCAAACATTTCACTATACCGGAATGGTGGTATGTGGATCTCGGAAAAGTAAAAAGTATTTACGACATACAGATTTACTTCAGGCTATATAGAGCCTTTGCTATTGGTAAGTAACAATTAAACGCACACATTCATTCAGTATTATAGTAAAAAAAAATACGTTTGCCATAGCCATTTCAACTCTTTGAAAACCACGAACATGACACTTGTAAAAACAATTTTTTCTGTATCTCTATAAAAAGTGAACAGATTTTGGAGAAGGAAAGCTACATGTATTATTTCAAGTTCTTTTGCTGACAGAAGTTTCCTATGTATAATCAGGTGTCATTTTTATTCTCAGGTGTCGTAGGACTTTTAACGACGTTCGATCCTGATATTTAAAGTCTTAAACTTTTTTTGCCAAGTGTATTTTTAGTTTCTACATACATAGCTTAATTAAAATTCAAATCAAAAAATGGGGTCAATACGCTTCTTTTGGCGCTACAGTACATTTAATATGACCTTTCTGCACTGAAATTTGTGTCTTAATTAAAAATTAAACTTTTGAGGTTTTCCTTCCAATATTTTTATCCAATTAAAGCATGAAACAAAATGAACTCTAAGTTTGTTTATAAAAAAGACACTTAAAAATTGTGACTAAGAAAAAGTTTCAAATTGCTTCGCATAATCAATTATTTGACCTTTCTGCACTGATAAAAAGTGATTTTTCTGGCATTGAAAATTTAATAAGCAAGAAAATTATTTTAAAGTCTTAAACTTTTTCTGATCTTAAGCAAAAAGGTCAAATTTATCTTGAATATTTAGAAAAGAACATCAAAAGTGGGGGTATATGATGTAAATTCTTAGATATTACGAAAAAACTGTCAATTTTACGTTAAAATTGGCTCAATTTTTTCCCAGATTTTCTGAATATATTTACCATATTTGTCACACTTTGTTGATAGAATTCATAAGAAATGATTAAATAGACATTTCAGAACCAGCATAACACATTTCACTGCAAAATACAGTTTTGTGTACAACCAGGATGGAAAAATAGGAATTTAAAATTAACAGTACTGTTATAGTTCAAAATGGAAAAAACTGATCATTTTCGTCTAAAAAACCTTCCGCCACAAAATATAGTCCCTAGCTGAATTCTACTTGACTGGAATTTACTCGCGGTTTTTTCATTGAATATAGTTAAATTTGCACTGTAGAATTCAAATTTAATGTTAGAACTTATAAATGATGCAAAATTTTATAAATAAAGGACCTGACCAAAATACGCTCAAAATCTCAGGATCGAACGTCCTTAATTCAATATCTTCTAATTATAACACATCGTTGAAGGTGAAAATAACGAACAGTGATGTATCTTATGAATCGAACTAAAAAAAACCAAAGCTAGCAAAATCTTGCATTATCGGACTTAGAGCACTCTATTCGCACAGAATCAGTTGAGCATTATAAATATGATAACACCTATGTAGATTACAAACTTGCTACATGAAAAAGAACCTGATGATGGAAAAGCTGAAGTCATTCCTGTTTTCAGCCAGTGAAGTTGGGAGTTGAACTTTATTGTCTTCAATCTGTTAAACATCAAAATATGATAAAAGAGTGTTAGACTATACAATGAGTCAGTGTTTATACTTTTTTCGAGTTCACTCGGTGTGTGTCAAAAAACCTTTTGAGTTAATGATGAATAAAAAAGATTACTTGTTTTGTTAATTCATAAAACATCTTTTTTTCATATATCTAAATGTTGAATTTAAGCCATATACAATTGTGTCTCCTATATCATACCTAATTTCTAAAAAAGTAAATTCAGATCTGCTTAATTAAAAAAATAAAATATAGTACCTTATCTATTAATAAAGGCACGATTTCTACTCTTTGGAATTCAAAATAAATGTAACGGTAGTAATCTGTGTTAAATGTATGAAGTCTTCTTATGTTATATAGACTTGGTAGAGGGACAGCAGCGTGTATATGGATACGAACTCTTCATTTCTAACAGCACTGATATCAGTTTGTTACACGAGGCTTATCAATGTTACAACCAAACAAGGCCGGAAGAAATCGTACCTGATGTAACTCATATATGTGTTTCGTTTGGTCGATACGTGATTTTCTACAACAAAAGACTCCGTGGCGAAAATTATCCATATTTTCATTCAGGACCGTACATACAGCTATGTGAAGTAATTGTGCAAGGTAATGTCATATCTCTCTAACAGATCCTTCTTGAAATAGACAACTATAAGTTTTTAATTTATTAAAATCGTTAAAAAAAGGCAGGTAAAAAACGAGACATTTTGCAAATGTTTCAAAGGTTGTGAAGAGGATGGTGTTTACGGAAATAACTGCAATAAAACCTGTCCTACTAATTGTCAAGAGAGAAGATGTTACATAACTAATGGAACTTGTGATGGATGTAAAGACGGTTGGACTGGGGAAAAGTGTCTTTTTGGTAAGATATTTTACATGTATATTTGGCATTCTAAGTTATTATTGTCTATTTTTTCTATCCATGCTTCTTTTTACATTTTACTTTCCAATTGGTACTTCTTAAACTCATCTGCCGGGCAATACAATGACCTTGTCAGCAAATACAATTCATCTTTGAGTCAAATGCTGCCTGACGTTTTTCAAACTATTTCTTAGTCCATTTTTTATACACTGAACTGACCACGCATTTTCCGTTATTTCCCGATCTTGACAAGGAACACACGGCGGGTGTGACAGTGTCAGCAGGGGATGCTCACTCCTCCATGGCACCTGATCCCAACTCCGATGCTTTGGAGGTCTGTGTTTGTTCTGCTCCTATTTTGTATTGTTTAAAGGAATTTTGACCTTAAATAATGTTCATTATCTCCATATGTTTGATCAAATCAGTCTCCTTAAGTTAACACACCTCTGCAATGGATCGCATTCAAGAGACCAAGTGAACGACCATAAAACACATATTGGAAACGTTAATTTGGAACATGATACTGATGAAATTATCAACTATTTGTATCATTGCATATACCCGTATATTTAGTAATTCAGATTGAATTTAATATATACTGTGTACAAATTAAAAAAAATTGCATTTTATTTCTCATTCGTCAGTCGCCCGCGTGGCGCAGTGGTTTCACCGTGTCAGCCCTAGAGTCGCAAAATAAGTAGGATATGGAGATAACGAACAGTATTCAAGATCAAAGTCCATAAAACAATACAAAATAGCAGCAGAGCAAACATGGACCTCCGAAACATCAGAGGTGTGATCAAGTGCCATGAAGGAGTGAGCATCCCCTGCTGACACTTGTTCTCTTTGTCATGATCAGGTAATAACGGAAAAATCCGTTGTCAATTCGGTGCATAAATAATGGACTAACAATTAGTATGAAAAACGTCAGTCAGCATTTGACTCAATGATAAATTGTATTTGCTGACAAGGCCATTGTATCGACCATAGAACTAACGAAACGATGACTTTAAAAGAGTCTGCTGATATTCTTGTTTCATCAACTTGCTTGTCAATAATTTACCTCGGTTAAGAAATTGTTCATACGTAGAGCATGCTCTTGCGTATCGAATCAGATGAGATATATATACTTCATTATGCAGGTGATGAAGGTATATTGCTGCTTAAGTAAGGGAAGTTGACGATAGAAAAGTTAAAGTAATCACGTTTATCATATAGCTTTGTTGTTAGATTCCCATTAACGTCTTTTCAAGTAAAATATCCAAGTATGAAACAGATGTGTCAGACTCTGTGGTATCTTTTATCTCAAGCTCATAGGATATATCGTATCGACGTACGAATGGAAATTACCATTGTTAATTGACAATACGTCGTCGATATATCTAAAAGTCGAGTTGAAGGCTACAGCAAGTGTTTTCTTCTTTTCACGCATAAGATTTTGCACAAATTCTGCTTCATATGAATATAAAAATAGGTCTGTTAATAACGAACGCAGTTGGTACCCATGGGAATTCCAATAGATTGTTGGAATACCTGGTCTCCAAAAACCAAATGGATATTGTCAATCAGAAACTCATTCATCTCTTTGATGTCAACTTATTAGTACTTGTGTGTGCAATCAGAATGTGTTTTAACAAAATAATTTTGCAAATGACCAATGACCAGATAAGTAAATTTACGAGTTCCATTTTTATTAAAAAAAGCAGTTCGAATTTCACTGTGGGCCGTAGAGACAGGTCCTCCGGATGAGACCGTATAAATCGAGGTTCCTTGTCGCAGTAGTTTTTGACAATAAAAAGACTCCTCACTGCTCAATGGCCGTAAGTGCCTAATATCGGACAGAATTTGCAGCTCTCCACAACTGGTGGTGTCTCAATATAATTGAAATAAATATTCTCGATAGGGACAACATTCAATCAATAAATATCATTCATTTTTTCACAAGCTGTAATTAAATACAGAAATATTTTAGCAATGTTTTCCGTTAAAGCCTTTTTAAGCCTGTCCAGCTGGAAAATATGGAGCCGAATGCAAGAATTCATGTACAGACCATTGTGGAAATAATACTTCTTGTAATCACGTGACTGGTCAGTGTGAGGGCTGTTTATCTGGATGGATGGGATATGATTGCAATGAAAGTAAGATGTGTGTTAAGAATATCCTTGAGTTAATTTGACACAAAGATAAGAATTTTTCATTATACCAGACGATGAGAGTTTGATGATAATATTTTAAGTTCATAAGCATTAAACTAAGAACACTAAATCACTGCACATTTTAAATTGATTGTCAATAAAAATGAACTTATATTATGTACAGGAAAAGGTAAATCATGTAATTTTCTAATAAATGTATCTATAACCATATATGAACATATTTTCACAATTAGAAAAAGATCATGTTTATATCGTTTTTGTTATTTTTATATTTTTACAGCCCTTAATTTTAAATGTATAATATACAATGCATAAAACGAGAATCTGTTTTGCATTCAAGCAATTGTAGAAATATTATACTTCTGTGCATAATAAAAAGTTTATATTGTGAAATATGCATTTTGAGGAGTTTCATAGTTTCATGGCATAACAAAGGACCAAACTATGAGCCATTTTAAGTTATAACGTGGAACGTGAACATACATAAGCAATAACTACGTACTAGTTTGCCATTTAGCACAGACTGCTTGTTTTTTTTTTATCCCATATTTAGGGGACCCCCCTTGCACGTATTTAGCAGACCACGAGAAATTATGTAGTGTAAACTGCATTAACAATGACACCTGCTACAATGTCGATGGTTATTGTCCTCGGAGTTGCCGTAATGGATTTCGAGGAAACCGCTGCGATGAACAAGGCATTGATGGTATGTGTGTTATAGTAAGCCGTTTCCGTATGTAATTCACACAAATGTACATCATATGCAGTTAACCATCATCCAAAAAAGAAATTCCTTCATGTCAGAACATTTATTCATCAATTTGTACACGTTCCTCAAAACATTTTTGATATTCTAACAGTACTTTTGAAAGAGGATTTTAAATACGTTGTCCAAAATACAAATATTACGATTTTTTCAGTGTAAATGACAATTAATTATTTCAAACTCAAAAATAGATTTTAAGGGCTCCTGTCAAGACCAAAGAAACAACGTTGCCGGATTAGTAGCGATTTTGGTTATTTCTCTCTTGATCGATGTTGGACTTTTCTTTATAGTGCTTTACTTCATCAGGTATGTTTATTTTTACAAATGAAATCTCAAATTCATATATTTATATCCGCTGAGTAATTTTTGTTTTATTTCTTAAGAAGACATTTCCCTTTACTTTTTGTAGCAATACCGGTATATCCTTATCACTTTCATAAGAGTTATTGTCTTAATAATTCCAATGACTCGATACGCAAGAACATGCTCTTTGTTCGTTTTTCTCAATGAGGCAAGCTATTGATGAAACATGGAAAACAAGATTTGCTTGAAGTTATCATTTTAAAAGTTCTATTGTCGATAATATAGCCTTGTCAGCAAATACAATCTATCGTTGGGTCAAGTGCTGAATAATTAAGGCCATTTTGTACACAACACAATTTCTACAAATTTTCTCGCTTACCCCATTCTTACAAGAAGCACACAGCGAGTGTATAGATTGTAAGGAGATTTTTACTCCTCCATGACACCTGATCCCGCCTCTGCCCGTGATTGCTCTGCACCTGAAATGTATTTTTATTTAGACCTTGAGTATGAGTATTATTCGTTATCATCATATTCATTAACACATTATTGCATAAAAGAAATTTGTTTTGATTTACGCGATTTCTTGTTAAATCATTATATTCACAAGAATGAAAAAAAAAGAAATATACGTCTACTTTAATTTTGAGTGCAACATTTTCATAACTGAGGCCTAACCAAGAAAAGTTTATTATGAAATTACTGCTCATTTTCATTGGCAATTTTTTACTTACTTAGACATACCGTGAATGCATTCTTGAAAAAAATATAAATAGGATATATATCAGTTCTTTTTTTTTTGTTTGGTTTTATATAATTTAAGTCAAAATACGAGTTTATTATATGAAAGTAAAATAAAGAAATTACTCGCTGTAGGAAGAAAGACAACAAGAAAGAAAATGATCAGCCTTCTTACAAGGTCAGCGACAGAGGGCGTTCTCAACAAAGATCAACATCTGGCGGCCATCTTGAAAATCATAAATCATAGGATCTGAATGCCGTACGAACCACAGTTATTTATGTTTTTCAAAATATCTCGCTCAAGGACACAACAACAATGTCTTCATAGCAAAATTAGATTTAATTGGCTAATAAAAGAATATCATATCTAGAAGCCTATGATTTTGTCTGATGCACTCCACTTCTAGTGCTGGGCTTGGCGAAGGAACAGACACTGCCTTTCTTTAAATTCTAAGGTTTAACTTTGACTCGAATATGAATCGAACTTGGTACCTCCTAGTAATAGACAGAGCAACCTTAAAATATATACCGGAAGAGCATTGAGACATTTGCGCTGTTTTAACAGAAACATGTATATACTCGCCGGTTGTAAAGTTGAAGTCATCATGAAATTGGAGCTTAACGTCTGTTATTGCAGTGACTGTTTATTCTCATTAATAGACATGCTTTATGTAAGAAATGCTCGTATGATTGCGTAATCGGACAATGCATAAATAATTCAAAGTAAAATCCAGATATCTTTTTCTGAAATGATTTCAATGAATGCAGCAATTGACGTATTTCCTCTGTAAATAACAATGGGAATGCTATGAGGGCATATACCCCTTTATTGTATTTCTGTTTGAAAATTTGACTACAAAATGAGTATTTTTTAAGGCATTTAGTAAGAAAAACTTGCAGAAAATACTTCATCAATAGTGGTACACAATTCTAGAAACGAGTTTTGAATTTTTTTGTATTAAGGCTATTACGTGTGCAAAAAGGGGAACAAATAACCACGAGATATGAATAATTCTGAATTCGGCTTTAATTGACGAAGCAAATGTCTTTGAAATCAAAAAGCCTAGTAGCTATTTAAACGATAATAATAAGTCAGATGACACACACACACACACACCCACACAAACACACACACAACAACAACAACTGCAGTATCAACAGTCTCGTATCATTTGACAAGTTCTATGGATGATATAGTGAACTTGTCAGCAAGTACAATGTATCATTTAGTGAAATGCAATGCGGACTGACGTTTTTTTTTTATAGTAATTGCTTATATGGATTTCACCGTTGTTTCCCATCATGTCCTTGCCCTATGTGCAAGCGGGCATAACAAGGACTAGGTGAGGTGAGGTTCCCGATCATGACAATGAGCACACGGTGGTTGTGACTGGTCGGCAGGAGAGGCTCACTCCTCCACAGCACCTGATCTATGACGTCCGATGCTTGCTCTGTTCCTGATTTGTATAGTTTAAATTGAGTTTTGGGGCCCTGAATACTGTTTGTTATCTCTACATATCTCATGTTCCCATGTTAAACTTTTTTTATATCTTTGTGACCCCACTGTACTCCTGGGGACCATGGCGAACAAAGTCGAGACTGAAATAATTGCAAAAATATTCAAATGATTTAGGCCTTCTGTTCTTGAGATAGTTTTGATTTTTCATATATACATATTATACAAATATCAATAGTGAAATATTGTTATTTATTTAACAACATACACACTATTAAAAAACATCAAACGTAGAGATTCCATTAAGTTATAATTCTTAGAATCTTTAGAAAAACTGCAATCCAATTTGTAGATGATAATAGTTTATATATAAAGTTAGTAAAGTCTTGTAAACTACTCAGGCTAGTGAATTAGTAAACCGTAAACAGCTGCATAAATACATGTATAATTATATGATTATATTGGTCTATAGTAGGTTTTTTCACCTTAATGATTATAAATTACATAACGTTTGTTTGCTGCCACATATCTTACAGTTTGGTTATGAATACCTGGAAAAGAAATTGTTACATTTGATGTAAACCACTCGGAATAAATCAATAATGCAATTAATCCTTCTCTGAATTTAATACAGTTAAAACATGCTTTTTATTAGGACTTGATTTCAACTGAATAATGCATTTCTTTTTTATAAACAGAAAATGTATCTTCATACGGAAATCTATCATAAATAAAGAGAAAAAATAATTTCTTTATTTCAAAACCCTCATCATTTATGATCCATTTGCAGTCAACAGCATAGACCAAACGCTTATCCCTTTCGACAAGATAACTTAACGATTAATTTTGAGTCAAATAGTTTTTACCATGCAAGAGTTAAAGAACCTTGTTATCTTTAAATACGACCCTAAAAATAAACAGATATTCATGAAAGCACATGAGCAATGCATATGATAACAGTAAAAGAAGCTTTAAAGATGCGTATTCTTTTCAACTGTTTACTTATCCAATTTGTCTGCATGGATATTTCTCTAGGATACGGTTTGTATAACTCATTCTCATACGTAAAAATAGAATACCCCGTTGTTCTGCTCTTTTCGATTTATTTATATTTTAATCAAGCAGATCTGGACCAGGAAGTGTATTTCATGGGAACAACATTAAAAGCGCTGAGTTAAACAGTGCTAGTCAGTGCTGTTTATTTTCAAATTCAAAAATTTATTTTAATTATAGATTACTTTTGAAATTCATTAATAATAATATGCACCATTTAAAAAATGTAATATTTAATGGAAGAAGGGCTGTGAAATTACTTAGTACAATCAAAGTTCCTGCTAATATTATTATTATTATGATTATTTGCCAATTCAGGGTACTTGAAAATACAGACAATTACACAAATCACAAGCATTACATTTTTTAATATATATTAACCGATGGATAAGATATCATTAACAAACGTGAAATGTTATATTCACCACTCATATTTTAATATAAACAATGACTCGGAAACCGTACGATATGTACCGACGATAATTTTAGTTTGAAACAAGATGTGTTTGTGAAACATTATGCCCCCGGCGGCAAAAACAATTTCAAAAAGCTATTTTTAGCAGATAAGTCACAGACAAGGTCACAAGGCCATTGACCTTGATGTCATTTGAAAGAACTTGATTAGTAAAGTATGGATACCAAATATGAAGTCTCTTTCTCTTATGGTTCAAAAGTTATAGCAAAGGTACAAAAAAACTATTTTTACCATACAGGTCACAGTCAAGGTCACAAGGTCATTGACTTTGGTGTCATTTGAAAGAGCTTAATTAGTGGAGTATGCATACTAAACATAAAGTCTCTATCTTTCGTGGTTCAAAATTTATGGAAAGGTTAAAGTTTGCAGATAAAAAGCTACTTTTAGCATATAGATCACGATCAAGGTCACAAGGTCATTAACCTTGGTCATTTGAAAGAGCTCAATTAGTGGAGTATGCATACCAAATACGAAGTCTCTATCTTTCGTGGTTCAAAAGTTATGGCGAAGGTTAAAGTTTGCAGACAAACAAACAAACAAACAGAAAAATAGAGAGACAGGACAAAAACAATATACGCCCCGGATCTATCTATCCGGGCGCATAAAAAAAATGTAGTTATCACTAAGAATTCAGTTCAATTTCTGTATAAACTTTTGTTTTATCTACACCAATTCTGCATTTTTAAATGCGTTTTTGGGCTTCTTCAAGTGGTTTATCTACATTATCTTGAAATTAAAGCAGCAATTAGCCAGCAAAACTGAGAAGCTTACTAGAGAGAACAATATTTGAGCTTTTTTATATCACTGTGTTAACATTTATACACACTTGCATTGTTGACTTACAGTATATTACATAGTTTGTAAAGAATAACCAGTTATAAGCAAATTTTTCAAGATATGAAATGAGGACTGTATAGATTAGTATTTCTTAAATCCATTTTCAAGTTATCATCAGTGCTGGTGCAAAATTTTAAGCAGAAGATTATAGTTCTACCGATATTTTAGAATATTACCAGGTATTTATCTGACATAATAATTGAATTAGCACACTTCTGAACGTTATATTTACATATGTATACATTAATAAAATATCATATTAAATTTCATTTCGCGATGATGTATATCGCTTATAAGTGAAGGGTATTTTTCACAACTTTCTCTGCAATTAGATCAATCACCTTTAAAATTTCATTTTGCACACCAAAGTCCATATTTATCATTCATAGTGGATACAAAGATTTGCATTATCTGCAAACGGAGTTTATGTATCTCAATTTATTCGACACACAAGAGAATGCTCTACGTACGAACAGTTTTCAAAACGAGGTAAATTATTGACAAACAAGTAGATGAAACAAGAATATCAGCAGTCTCGTTTAAAGTCATCATTTCGTAAGTTCTGTGGTCGATACAGTGACCTTGTCAGCAAATACCGTTTATCATTGGGTCAAAAGCTGACTGACGGTTTTCATACTAATTATTAGTTCATTACTTATACACTGAATTGACGACAGATTTTTCCGTTATTTTCCGATCATGACAATGAGCACCCAGAGGGTGTGACCGGGCGGCAGGGGATGCTTACTCCTCCATAACACCTGATCCCACCTGTGATGTTCTGAAAGTCATGTTTACTCTGCTCCAAATTTGTATTGTTTAATGCACTTTTGATCTTGATTACTGTTCGTTATCCCCATATATTTTATTATTGAGTGCCTTTGATATTGTTAAGAAATATTCAAAATGCGCTGCTAATTTGATTTTTTGCCAAAACATTCTTAATTTTTTGTTTCTTTTTCAGACGATATATCGGCATATAAACCAACAAAACAAGGCCACGATAGGCAAATATTAGATGTAGCTGCGAATGTTGTTGATAGATCTTTCTCCACATGTTCAACTACTGGTGCCTCTAATCCTTCATGGTGGTATGTGGATCTTCAAAAAGTCAAAAGTATTTACGACGTAGAGATTTATTTCAGGCTTTATGATACCTACCTTGGTAAGTAATGAATATAATTAACACATATTCTCAATAAAACGAAAAACAAGATGTGTGTAAAACACTGATGTTCCAGTATAGCATCTTATAGCAAAAACTAGAGAATTTTTAAAATGCAAGAAAAGCTTTAAAGTCAAAAGGTCAGTCTTTTGGTGTCTTGAGGAAAGTGTTGTCACAGAAAATATATGTACACGTGAAATAAAATTTAAACCCCTTGTACTAACTCTTCAAAAGGTATGGCCAGTATTAAAGTTATTACAATAGTAGGTCAAACTCTATAGGGCTAAGGACAAAAGGTC